CCTGCCTCAGCCTCCCCAGTAGCTGGGATTACAGGCACGTGGCACCACACCCGGCTAATTTTTGTATTTTTAGTAGAGACAGGGTTTTGCCATGTTGACCAGGCTGGTCTCCTGACCTCAGGTGATCCACCCGCCTTGGCCTCCCAAAGTGCTGGGATTACAGGCATGAGCCACTGCACCCGGCCTAAACTCTTATCTTATTCAACTTTGTATCATAGTTTTTACGTCTCTATTTTATCAATCCTTTTAGGCTCTGAGGCACTTGAAGGCTAGATCCATACTTATTTCCAAGTAACTTTGGTCTCCTGCCCCTAGTAGGAACGAGGTGTTAGTTTATAATACTTCTTCTCCAGATCTCCAGCACCATTAAGAAAACAGACACCATGAGATAGAGATTTTCTCAACAATTTGACTCCCGCCACCTCCAATCCTATCCAGGGCTTCATCGTCTTTTCCTTTTGTCTAGAATAGGCATGCCTAATACTTTCTAAAATTAACCCCTCAAAAAACTGTTTCAATATGTTGATGAATGAAGAAATGAATTCATCGGGATAGCCTGAGTCATTCTATGATAAAAACAAAAACAAATCTTAGTGGTTTAACACATCAAAAGGTTGTTTTTCACTCATGCTACACGCAAAATGTGGCTGAGCAGGGGCTTCCACTTCTGGCCACTCCAGGCCCCAGGGTGATGGAGATTTCATCTCAATATGGGCTTCCCAGATCACTGTGGCAAGCGGAGGAGAACATAGTCAGTTATGCCCTGTTCTGAAAGCTTCCACCTGGAAGTGACACACCCACACATATTACTTCCATTATGCTTCAGTTCCACTTTTATTTCATTGACCAAAGCAAATCACATGGCCATGCCTAATTTAAAAAGAAGCAAGGAAGTATAATCTGTTATTTACCTGAAAGGAGACAAGAGCTGGGATATTTATCAACATCACTAATGATTACCAAAATATACGTATACAATATATTTCAAAGAGACTTTTCTAGCATAAATTTTAGTTGTCTTCCCTAATTCTCTCCTGGTTCAAGGTTACACATTCTTTTTCTTTCCTTGGCTCATTGAGATGATGCATACAATTGAAAAAAGAAAAATGAAGTCACCTGTGGCACGGTGTGGATGCAAGAATGTTTATTATAGACCGGCTCTTGTTTTGGTATAGAGTTCAGATAGTTTCTCAGATTTAAGACACTGAGAGAGTAGAAGCAAGAAAAGTTTGGGAAGTGTCAGACTCAGTTACTTTAGAGGACACTTACTTACACTTAATAATTTGCAATTTAGTGCCTGATGTTCCATACAGATAACATCTGCTTCCCAATAAAAGATATATCAGAAACAATACCCTCAACGATGCTTTTTGGAAGGAGATTTTAAAGAGCATCCAGGTGACTAATAAGTAACCCTTTTGTTGTGGCAAACATTTAGGTTCAGTCCCTGACTCCATTCTGACTTGATGTTCCATGTTTGATAATGTCACTTAACCTTTTCCACATCATTTGTCTGTCTGCAAGAAGGAATAAAGCTCTGCGGGATTTCAAAGCTCTTCGGGATTTCAAAAGAAAAGCCTAGGTGGTAAGCACAACATTGGAAAAGAGAGCTTTTGTGGGTGGTAAACTTCAGCTGATGTATATTAGCAGGATCTTAAAAATGTATGCCGGCCCGGCGCGGTGGCTCAAGCCTGTAATCCCAGCACTTTGAGAAGCCGAGGCGGGTGGATCACGAGGTCAGGAGATCGAGACCATCCTGGCTAACACAGTAAAACCCCGTTTCTACTAAAAATACACAAAATTAGCCAGGGTGGTGGCGGGCGCCTGTAGTCCCAGTTACTCCGGAGGCTGAGGCAGGAGAATGGCATGAACCCGGGAGGCGGAGCTTGCAGTGAGCCAAGATCGCACCACTGCACTCCAGCCTGGGTGACAGAGTGAGACTCCGTCTCAAAAAAAGAAAAAAAAAAAAAAGTGTGCCTTTTGAAAGTGTACATGAGATGGAAGAAAAAAACACCTATTTGGAATCAGAAAGATGTGACTTTTTAGAGGATTCAGCAACTTTTAAAATGTTCTTTAACTTAGTATGCATTTTTTTGCATTTAAAACTAGTTTATTTTTATTTTAAACATCTAATTGTATATATTTATGGCATACAACATGACGTTTCAACATGCAATAAGCTAGAGAGAGAAAACATACTTTACGATCTCACGTATATGTGGAATCTTAAACGAGTTTCTTTATCACATAAAGAAAAAACAAACAAACAGTGAATCAGTGTTTTAACCCAGAATGTTTGACGCAGTGTGCACATCTGTGTCAAACAATCTGGGTCAAAACATTCTACTTTAATAACTTTCACTTATAATAATACCATATGGAGACATTGAGTTTCTCACCTCTTTTAGAGTTAATCGTGGTTAGCTATATTGTTCTCTGAGTCAATACAACAGTTGGCTCCCAAAATGGATATTAACATCTCCCAGAGTTACATATATTTTAATAGAGGTAACTTACCATCCCTTTATCTTTTAATGATTCAGAATTGGGACCCAATAGTCTCCACTGTGCTAGTCATAACTAATGTGTAATCGTAGGTTTAAAGTTAAAATTATGAATGTGTGAACTATTATGATGTCACAAATTATGGTTCTGCATATTGAATCATCACCTATATTAAATATGAATGAAATGTAGACAGAGAGACACATCCACATGATACATTTGGCAGAAAAGCAGAGAATACTGATAAAACAACCACCATGAGGATGGGGAAGGTTCCTCTTAGAGTGTGAGTTTAAAATGCAATTTTAAATACTTGACTGAGAAAAGTTTAAGTAGCAAAGTGAAGAAGCAATTGTATTCAGTATCTTCATCTGGCAAACTGGAATAACTAACTGCCATCCAGAAAGATCAGATTTTTTGCCCGCGGTCTCATAATTATTAGAGGCAGAAGCAGAATTAGACCTCAGGCCACCATGCTGTCTCCTGTGTTCAGTTTCATTTTCAAAACAGGATTGCCAAATTGTAAACTACAATACCACATTCCCACGGAAGGACTGTAAACCCAGTACTTTTGGCTGTTTTGGGGACACAAAGTGCAAGACAGCTGTTGTCTCTATTTTCTGTTTCCCTTTGAGAAAAGGCCAGGATGAGCATCCAGGTTTTCCAGAGGGAGCAGAAATACAGTGATATGTCTGAGAGGCAATATCCCCCCAACTCCTGACACTCAACAGCAAGTATAGTCTGTTAGACGTTGGCGATAAGAAAAAAAGTAGCAATCCATTGAGATAGGAAAGAGGTTATCCCCAGTTTGTCCTTGTTTCTCCTTCCTTCATAAAGATATAAAACATACCTGATCTACTTTATTTTTTGAGACAGGGTCTTGCCCTGTTATCCAGGCTAGAATGCAGTGGTGCCATCATAGCTCACTTCAGCCTCCAACTCCAGGGCTCAAGTGATCCTCCTGCCTCAGCCTCCCAAATGGGACTACAGGTGTATGCCACCCTGGTCAGCTAATTTTTATTTTTATTTTTTGTATAGCCAGGGCCTCCTTATGCTAGTCTCAAGTGATCCTCCTGCCTTGGCCTCCTTAAACACTGGGATTATAGGTGTGAGGCCACTGTGCCCAGCCCTGATCTACATTTTTTTGAGCTCAAGCTGGGACATGATTTAAGTTTAAACTGATATCATTGCTTTTTTTGACTCAATTTCCTATGATGGTAGGTGAAAACAATAATTATGTGAACTCATAGGCATTTCTGAAAATATACAAGGCCTTGTGAGCTAGAGTTCAATTCTCATTTCTGGCTGCATGTTCCACTGTTATCAATAGAACTCATCATGCTCTGCCATGTCATTAAGTGATAAGTGGCATTAAATAATATGAAACTTGGAATTCCAATTTATGATGTTAGCCAATACTTTTGCCTAAACAAATAAAAAATAATAAAAATCAATGATTATCTTCTGATCACACTTAAGGAATTTTAAAAGATCAAATCTAATGAAAACAAAGAGAAATACCTTGATGTGATTTAACCAAGAGAATGAAAAGGAAAACAATGTAATAATGTTTATCAAGCATATGGATGATTCTTGGGAGAAAAAAAGGTGATCAACACAATAAAAGTTTATCAGACATATATATTTCTTGACAGTAAGGGTTACTCAGTAGAGAAATGGCTGGACCATCTAATGTATACATTTTCTTTCTATTTGTTTGGCCAACTATTTACTATAAAACAACTTCCTATTTGGAAAGGATTGGTGAGGGCGTAAATAATAACGGGCCTTTATTTGGTAAAACTCCAATGTAAAAGATCATAAGAGCATCAATTTTCAAGCTGTGTTTCTGGATTTCAGAGTAGTTTCATCTATAGAACAAAGACTCGATGACAAATATTGAAATGAGATTCTTTGAATATTGGGCTATAAGGAAGTGCAATGTGGAGGAGGGTGTGGGATGCTCGTTTGCTGCAAGAGTGCTCTCCTTAGCACACTTGAGGCCAGGACAAACCAAACGCAATCCATAACTCAGTTGATAAATGGAGGGGTGTATTAATCCATTTTCATACTGTTTTAAAGAACTGCCTGGTTATTTATAAAGGAAAGTGGTTTAACTGACTCACACGTCAGCACGGCTTAGGGAGGTGTCAGGAAACTTACAATCATGGCAGAAGGTGAAGGAGAAGGCAGGAAGGAGAAGTGCTGAGCGAAGGGGGAAGAGCCCATTATAAAACCATCTGATCTCATGAGAACTCACTCACTATCATGAGAACAGCATGGGGGAAACTGCCCCCTTGATTCAATCACCTCCATCTGGTCTCTCCCTTGATGCATGAGGATTATGGGGATTACAATTCAAGATGAGATTTGGGTGGAGACACAAAGCCTAACCGTATCAAGGGGGCACCACGTCCCCATTTCTCTCTATTAGTTATAACACTCAGGTATATTCATGAAGTCATGCAGACTTAAAGCCTTGCATATCATTTCAGAAACATATGTCCACAGTCTTTGGAAAGGAATTAAGAAGAACTAACATTTGCTGAGGACTTGCATCTACATAACACTCTACTGGGATCCTTTGTATACTTCAGATACACACATCAACCCTAGGAGGCAGGTATTACTATGATTCCCCATTTTTCTTGTGGAAAAGCTAATGTAGAGAGAGGTCACTTAACTTTACTGAGTTTGTAAGTAGCAGAGCTGAGATCTAAATGCAAATGTGAAACCTCCAGAGCATGTGTTTTTCTCACTACTCTTTGCTTCCTGTCTTACTATGTTTGCTTGAAAGGAAATATTTTTAACTAAGGGCAAAATGGCAAGCATTTAGTTGAGCTACCGCTGGTGAGTTTTAAAGAGGATTTCTACATACGGTATTACAATTTTACTGAATTTCTTGGTTAGCATGTTTAATATTCAGCTCCACAGAACTGAGGTATGCTTGTGGATTAATTATTTTTATGCAGTGGTGAATATTTTTAGAATCAAACTGTTATAATAGCTAAATTCAGGCATGTCCATATGCACTCAAGCGCACGCACACACACACATAGAACAGATTAAGAGACCTAATTTTATTGAAGGAAGCATCAATATTTATGCTTGGCAAAGTGTATAGACAGAAATTTTCAATTAAGTAGGCAGAATAAAATAGCAAAACTGAAGTTGAATCTAAACTAGTTTGAATGTTTAAGAATCAATGGAGTTAATAACATAGTTAACCGAAGATTGGGGATAAAAATCCTCTCTGTTTCACTTGGATGGGAAAACCTCCCAGCCCCCTTTTTCCACCTTGTGGAGCTGCATATTGATGATGGTATTATTGTGCCAATCAGGTTTTGGTTTGTGTCCTTAAGACACACACATATGTGACTTGTTTAAAGCAAATCACAATGAGAAAAGCACAATTTGGTAACATTGGTTTGACCATTCTCTCCACTGTCGATGTTTCTGTCTCTTAATGCCTTGAGTCTATCTTTTTCTGGTTCCTGATTTTGGCTTCTGCTTAAGGATTAGCCCTCAAAATAACCTAGAATATGAGCCTAGAATCTTTCCACAGTGCCTAGCTCCCTTTAAATTGACTGGCTCATTCCACACAAAATCCTGCTATTAGTCGATTGAAAAGCTACCACTATCCGAAGTTCATTTCTGAATAAACAACAGTCCAAAACAGGAGTCCAGGCCATTTATCCATATCTTATCTCATTACTCTTCCTTATCATTTTTTTGTAGACCTTCTCATCTTGATTCCAGTCATTCACCGCTGCTTTCCACCTTGTACTGGGGATAAGCAATCTAATATTTTATTTTGCTATAAATTGACAAATTATAACTGTATATATTTATGGGATAAAATGTGATGTCATGATATATGTATACAATTTGGAATTATTAAATCAAGTATATTAACATAGTTATAACCTCAAATATTTATCTTTGTTTGTGGAGAGAACATTTCAAGTCTACTCCCTTAGCAATTTTCAAGAATACATTATTGTTACCTACAGTCATCATTCTGTGCCATAAATCTCAAAAAATGTATTCCTCCTGTCTAACTGAATTGCTATACTCTTTGACCAACATCTCGCCATTACCCACACCCCCAGTATCTGGTAACTACCAATGTATTCTTTGTTTCTTTAAGTTCAATTGTTTTGGATTCCACGTGTAAGTGAAATCCTACAATATTTGTTTTTCTGTGCCTGGCTTATTTTACTTAGCATAATATCCTCCAGGTTCATCAATGTTGTCAGAAATGACAAAATTTCTTTTGATTTTAAAAAGATAAGTTGTATTCCATTGTGTATATATACCACATTTTCTTTGTCCATTCATCTGCTGATGGACACCTAGGTTGATTCCATACCTTGGATATAGTGAATAGTGCTGCAATGAACATGGTAGTGCAAATATTTCTTTGAAATATTTATTCCAAATCCTTCAGGTATATAACCAGGAGAGGGACTGATGGCTCGTATGGCAGTTTTACTTTTTGTTTTTTGATGAACCTTCACACCATTTTCCACAATGATTGTACCAATTTACATTCTCACCAACAGTTTACAAGAGTTCCCTTTTCTCCGCATCCTCACCAACACTAATATTTTGTCTTTTGCTATAGTAGCCATTCTGACTAATATAAGGTAATATCTCATTGTGTTTTTAATTGGCTTGTCCCAATGTTTAGTGGTGCTGAGCATTTTTTCATATATTTGCTGGCCATTTGTATGTCTTATTTTGAGAAATGTCCATTTAAGTTCTTAGGTCATTTTTAAGTCAGTTTGTTCTCTTGCTGTTGAATTGTCTGAGTTCCTTATGTATTTTAGATATTAACTCTTTATCAGATATTAACACACACACACAGAGAGAGAGAGAGAGAGAGAAAGAGACAGAGAGAGAGAGAGAGAGAATAGATCAAGGGACCTAATTTTATTGAAAGAAGCATCAATATTTATGCTTGGAAAAGTGTATAGACAGAAATTTTCGATTAAATTATTAACATCTGATAAAGAGTTACATTGCCTACCTCTATAGAAGTAGCAGACACAGAATAACAATTATGTTTTTATTTCTCAATATATCCATATGTGGCTTCATTTTTTCTTTCTCTTGTCTAAATAAGCAGTACAATTTGGGTTCTTGTACCTGATGATATCAAGCACTATTTTATTTTTTTCTTTTTTCAAAATTTTATTTTAGGTTTGGAGTGCATGTGCATGTTTATTTTATAGGTACATTGCATGTTGCAGGTGTTCGGTGTGCAGATTGTTTTATCACCCAAGTAATAAGCATAGTACCCGATAGGTAATTTTTTGGTCCTCACCCTCCTCCTCTGTCCTCAAGTAGGTATTTTTTTGGTCCTCCTCCACCCTCTGTCCTCAAGTAGGTCCTGTTGTCTGTTGTTCGCTGCCTTGTGTCCATCTGTACACAATGTTTAGCCCCCACTTATAAGTGAGATCATGCAGTATTTTGTTTTCTGTTCCTGTGTTAGTTTGCTTTGGATAATGGCCTCCAGGTCCATCTGTGTTGCTGCAAAGGACATGATCTCATTATTTTTTATGGCTGCATAGTATTCCATGGTGTACATATATGTACCTCATTTTCATCATTCAGTCTACCATTGATAGGCATTTAGGTTGATTCCATATCTTTGCTATTGTGAATAGAGCACTGTTTTAGAGCATGAATTTAAGTATCTGCCTGTAGTTTGACTCAAGGAAATTCTGGGCAAGAGGTACCTCATACCACATTTAAAGCCTGTTGGACTTACCAACCTAGCTTATCTTTTGCCAAGCTTCCATCTAGGATCAATTTGGGCGCTCTGTCTGACCGCATCATTTGGATCACGAACTGTATGTACTACTTTCTTCATAACTAAAGACGTGACTTTGTGTATGTCATGCTTTGCAGGCACTCAGGGTACTCTTATTTATGTAATTTTCATTGCTTACCCTATAGATGTAGAAAATACAGATTAGTAATTACATTTTTGTCTCTCAATATATCCATGTGAAGCTGCTTTTAAAGAATAAACACTTCATATTTATTTACTTTCTCCTAACAGCAAAAGATTAGAAAATTCTGGGAATCCAAGGATGTGACTCAGTCAGCTACAGTAATGTGGCCAGTATTGCACGTTTCCAATGGGTTCCAATGCAGTTACTCAGATACTAGGAAAAGGATGAGATAAAATTAATTGAATAAACATTATACAGGAAATATATTATAATTGGTGTTAGCATTTTCTTTTCAGGGTAAAGGAAGCACCTAAAATTTTTCTAAAGTAAGGTTTTGCTTTTCTTGTTTGTTTGGTTTTTGTTTTTTTAATGTTAACTCAATCTTAAATGTAAGCTGGAAACATATAGAATTGAAAACCCATTAGAAATTATTACATCTTTGGCTATTTTATTATTAATCAGTAAGAGGATTAAAAAAGTTTACCATCTATTACCTGACTAGACAACCAGTGGGAAAATAAAATTGCATCAAAATGTAATGTTGAATAATTGACATGTGTAGGCTGCTGAGGACTTTACTCACATGCCCTGCAATTATACCTTCATTATATCCCACTGATTCAAAGGATAAATCTCAGTGTAGTAGCAGCATTACACAAATAAGGTGGAATGTCACAGGTGAAATTAGGCCAATTAAGCCCATATAATTCTGAGACTAGTTAAATTTGTTCATACAAGATTGCTTGGTTAGTGTAAATCATATTTACCTGTTCATCTGATTATGATTTTACTTGTGTTCAGTCTTATCCAAATAAGTGGAAGTTAGGCTATGGACAAAAAGATACTGACCTTATTATTTTAGTTATTCCTAGCACTAGTTTTAAAGGCTTGTCCATTGACCAGGCTATAAGTTTTATCCCTGCTCCCTCATCAGAAATTGTGTCCATTGGCCAGGTGTGCTGGCTCATGCCTGTAATCCCAGCACTTTGGGAGACTGATGTGGGTGGATCACCTGAGGTCAGGAGTTCGAGACCAGCCTGGCCAACATGGTGAAACCCCGGCTTTACTGAAAATACAAACATTAGCCAGGCATGGTGGCACATGCCTGTAATAGCAGCTACTCAGGAGTCTGAGGCAGGAGAATCACTTGAACCCGAGAGGCAGAGGCTGCAGTGAGCTGAGATTGCGCCATTGCATTCAAGCCTGGGCGACAAGAGTGAGACACTGTCTCAATTAAACAAACAAACAAACAAACAAATGTGTCCATTGAAGCTAATGTTGTATAGAGTATCCTCTAGCTGGGCCATCCTTCCTATCACTCTTCCCTGACTCACTGCTACTCATCTTGTTTTGTTTTGTTTTGTTTTGTTTTTTCTTTGAGATGAGTCTCGCTATGTCACCCAGGCTGGAGTCACCCAGGTTGGAGTGCAGTGGCCGGATCTCCGCTCAATAAAAGCTCCGCCTCCCGGGTTCACATCATTCTCCTGCCTCAGCTTCCCGAGTAGCTGGGACTACAGGCGCCTGCCTCCACACCTGGCTATTTTTTTGTATTTTTAGTAGAGACAGGTTTTCACCATGTTAGACAGGATGGTCTCGATTTCCTGACCTTGTGATCCACCCGCCTCAGCCTCCCAAAGTGCTGAGATTATAGGCGTG